TCCCTTCTCTACATCTCCAACTCCCAACGCCCTTCCTTTCTCAATCTTTATCAGAAGTGCTGAGCTCTTTTCTTGGTTCCCTTCCCTGCGTGCAGTTCTCCCTCAGTGCAGTCTATCAGTGGCTGAACGGAGCTGCTCTCTGGTGCTTTTCTTTAGGAAGAGGATGTGACTCCTTTCAGTAGATGACCTTGTTGCCCCAACCCCACCCTAGCAGGGAGCAGCTCCCCAGATGTCGGTCACTGCCAGTGTCACTGATTTCAGATGTCGAGAGAGGAGGCGTGGCTGCCTCTTACTCTACAATACAGCCCATGTCCCCTTTTCTCTTCCTTCTCTGCCCTGCCTGAGAAAATTCCTGATGAGAAAATTCCAGCGATAGCCCCAGAGACAAGGGACAGAATCCTCTTGAGGCCCTACTATGTGCCAGACATTAAGATTACAGCGATGAATAAAGCGATCCTTTCCCTCAGGGAATTTATAATCATGTAAAAGGTAGAATTTTTTTATGCACAGAGGAGAAAGGAGGGTGAGAGTGGTGTGGGAAAAGAAAATTTTAGCAACTATCATGGGCCAGGCAAATGCCATCTTCTTGTATGATCGCAAAATTTGATGTAGAAGATACCATTTCCCCATTATATAGATGAGGAAATTGCAAGAAACAAGGTTAAACAATTTGCCAAGCTTACACAGCTATTAAGAGACAAGATCAGGATTTGGACCCACATTGTTAGACTTTGGTTCCACTGAAGTCTAGAAGTTCTAGAAGTCTGATGGATATACCTTATCCAACCCCAGCACCCTTCACCAGACTGAGCCATGGGGACAGCAGAAACCTCAGAGTTAGAGGCCTGGCTTCTTGTCCTGGCTCTGCTGCTGACTAGCTGTGTGAAACTGGACAGTCACATCCCCTTTCTGGGTCTCAGGTTTCTTACACATAAAGTGAGGGAGGTAGACTAGGTAATTTAGAATAGCCTTTTCAACTCTATGCTTTTCTTGATTCCATTTCCTTTCCCGTCAGTTATATATTCATTTTGCTTCCATCTTCTAAGAAGGGTCACTGGAGCTTGGGGGTGGGGGCTGGGGGTCAGGCCATCAATTTCCTGCTGAGTTAGAGCTGGAACTCACAGTCCGGCAGCTGGTACACTGCAGTATTCATCAGTCAGGGCTGGGTGAGTGCAATTAGACTCCCCCGGGAGGCACTGAGAGTCCTGGTCGTAGGATTCCAGGAGCCAAGGCTATGCCCTACATGAGCCACCACCAACCACCACTTAGTCCATGAAATCAGGCCGAGGAAGGAGGATGGCCCAGAACTAGTCACTGTGAAGCCTCTCCAGGCATTTCACGCTTTTGAAAATGACCCTGAGAGAGATGCTATCAGGAGGCGTATTTAATGGGTTTTGGAAATTGGCTAATTTTGTTGCAATCGTCTGGATGTTGCCCGACGCATGCTAAGTATCTAGGGCTAGCGTGGGCTTGTGAGTAGGGCCAAGGAGTCCAAGGCCTTCAGAGATATGTGGCACGTGGAGGTCAGTGCAGAGTGGCTGGTCATTCCTAGTTGTCTGAAAGATCCCAGGTGACCTCAGGTCACCAGGCTGGGTATTGGGTCAGTGCCCTTTGCTGTTCCAAAAGGAGTCATCCCCGCTTCCCTCCTCCACCCCTCCCCCTTTCACATTGGCTTTCCCCCACCTTTCTCTGCAGAGCCTCCCTTCTCACCCTTGCCCATAGCCCTTGCCTTCCCCCTGCCCCCAGCCAGCCCCAAGTGGAGTTCTCCCTAGCCACCCTCTCCCATGCCTTGGGTCAATAAACTATCAATACCCTGTACTGAGAAGGAACACAGAGCTCTTTGCACGCCTGATTCACCAAGAACTGCTCTCCCAGCCCTTTCCTGGGCCTCTGGCATGCTCTCTCCATCCTTTGGACCCTGTCTTTCCTCCTCCAGAGACATTGTCATCCATCAGCTCTCTGCCTCACTGGTCACAGTTCCTTCTCTGGCTGTCTTCAGCTGCAGTGTTTATTTTCTTCCTTTCACATCTTCCTACTCCCTCATTCCTGGATTTGGGTTCTCTGTAGGTTCCTTATCAGGGTTGTCCTATAGAATGGGGCAGAAAAGAGGACCAAAGCAATGTGGTCTTTAAGGAAATAGGGCTACGGTCTCCTTCAGGGATGCTGCTTAAGGGCCCAAGATTTGGAACCAGGAGACTCAGTGTTAGAACTAATTCCGGGAGTTTTGGGCAGGCCCATTACCCTCTCTAAGCCTCAGTCCTCTCATTTATGACATGCAACTGTGGTGGCCAAGCAAGAAAACACCAGCTATCATTTGCTGAGTGTATTTTGTATGTTTGGCTCCATGTTAGGCACTTTCAAATATGCTTGCATTTCAGTGTGTTTGTGGACGTGCTTTGTACATTAGAAAGTGCTAGTGGATGCCAGTTACTATTGGGAAACCAGAAAGTCATAATGGTGGCTCTCCTTGGTGCCCAGAAAATGATTAAATGGGCACTTTTGAACAGTTCTGTTAACAAAAAATTTTACACATACATCATCTCATTGATGTTCACATGCCTGCCCTGAAGTAGGTAAGCAGATATGATTAGCCCCAGTCTATGGGTAAGGAGGCCCAGACTCAGAAATCGGAGCCCAGACAGCTCTGCCCATTTTATCCACTTGCCTTGGTACTGGGGAGTACACCTGTTCCACCTTACCTGATGGTCGGACCAAGTGGGCAGTGTGGAAGTGTGCATGTGGCATAGGCAGCATCTTGGAAGATGGAGTGGCATGCGGGGTGGGGAAGTTATCTGGAACAGTCAGGGTGGAGCTCTGAGAGCAGAAAAGTTTTCCCAGCTGGGGTGTCTCCACAGGGAAGGGGACTTGGTGAGGGAGTTCTCAGGGTTGGAGTGTTGGCAAGAAGGCTGATGGCCAGAAACCAGCAGGAAATGGGGCCATCTAAGGAAATGCATGATGTGTCCCATGAATGAGTTTTTGGACATGGGGTCTAAGCCTGAGAGCCTAGCAAGGATTTGTTCTTACTCTCTGATAACCTCAGGCCAAACAGATCACCTCCCAAACCAAACCACACATGGGATCCTCAGGCCACAGGGCCTGACTCTGTCCTGGAGCCTGAGTGTGACCATGTAGCGCCTTCCAGGGAGCTAGTGTAATTATCCAGGCCTCAGCTAACTCTTCACCTCCAGCCATCAAAGGCCACTGCTCATTCCTACATGGGCTGAGTCATGAGGCCAGTCTGTGCACATGGATCAGGGCTCTCTCAGAAGTATGAAGAACTATCAGGGTTGTCGCTGACCTCTTCAGAAAGGCTCCAGTTCCCCCATCCCCAATAGCTCACTGCATGGGTAGATTCCTCTGAAAACTACAGCCAGGCAAAGCTACCAGGCCCCAGGATATATAGCTCCTTCTGCCAGCTAGGCTCTTCATTACTTTTAGCCCCATTGCACTCTGAGCTTCCCCTTCTGACCTCCCATAGCTGTTATTCCTCCAAAATTTCCCCTGGACCCCTGGGTTCTCCCTCTCCCTCAGCTCTCTGGCCTGATGCACTGTGACTCTTCCCTAAGGGGCACAGCTTCCTGTTGGGCCATCTTAGGTGGAAACTACCGTTCTCCCTCAGCGCTTGGGCTCAGGAGATGAGATGGTGGCCTGAGTTCAACAAACCAATAAACACCACCCTCTCTCCTGCAAACCAGCCCCAGTAGCTTCCTGCTACTTGCTTGGCTCTTCTTTGATGCTCTCATGGTCCCACCTCATTCATGGAAGACATTGCTCTCCTTTCTCTGGGGACAAGTCAGATTGTCATCATCATCTGGGATGACATCACATTTACATGGACCACCTCCTTGACAGCTTGGTTTTTCCATTGTAGCCTCCCCCCCCCCCCCCCCCCCCCCCGACTCCAGAGCCACCTCCTGAATCTAGTCGTCTTAGAGATGCTCCTACCTCTGTAATGTTGAATCCCAGTGTCCTACGGGCCACAACCCCATTCCCTTTGTGTTCTCCACAGCCTTTCCTGCAACTGTCCTGTGATATCATTGCTTCTCTGATTCCTTGGCTTTTAATTTTCTCCCTATATCAACCCCTTCCATGTATCCCTCCAGCCTGGAGTCCCTATTCTATTTCTTCTAACAGCCTCACCTCCATTGCCCCCTTATTTTTTCATGACACCCTTTTGGCAAAGCCCCAGTCCAAAGTTAATTCAATTATTCACCTTCTCTGCACATCTATCTAGGATACTGGGTGTTGTGGGGGAATAAAAATCACACAGCTGCAGCCTGAGGGGACTATACAATCATAGCCTCCACCACAAGGGTGCCTTCAAAGTGGTCCAGAATTTTCTTCCCTGCCTTTGTCTGCTCTCTCTCTAGAGCCCGGCATCAGCTATTTCAGACCTTCTCCATTCTCAAGATACCACCTTTCCCAGCATTCCCCACCCCCCACATTCTCCACAGATAACTTTAGGAGAAAGTAAGAGTCATTTGGCAGAAATCCTGTCAACAGCTTGCCATCAAACACATTTCATCCTTTTCTTTTTCGGCTCTCTGGTCACAATAGAAGAGATAGGGGTCCAGCTGTCTCTCCTAAGAATAGGCTAATCCCTTCAAGTGCTTTGGACCTTCTCCCTGACCACCTCCTTGAAAACCTCCTTTGATTGATTTTTCCATGCATTTCTCCCTTCACTTATATTTCCTCCTCTCTACTGGCTTCTCATTAGCATTTGAACATGTTTGGGATTCACTCTTTAAAAACAAAACAAAACAAAAAAATCCTCTCCCCTAACCCTATACCCTTATTTCAATTTCTGTATTAATTATCTATTGCACATGCAAGAAATTTCCCCTAACATTTGAAAGCTTAAAACAACAAACATCAAGTAATAAACCTTTATCATCTCTCACAGTTTCTGAGGGTCAGGAATGGGATCAGCTAAGCAAGATGGTGTGCGTTTCTCATGAGGCCATAGTCAAGATGGGGCAACAATTATCTGAAGGTCTGACCTGGGCTAGAGGATCTGCTTCCACCATGCTTCAGTCATATGGCTGATGGCTGGTGGCTTCCACTCCTCATGACAAGGCAGCTAGAGTCCCCAAAGGGAGTGCTCTGAGAGGAAGCTGCTGAAAAGGAAGCTACGAAGCTACAGAGTGTTTTATACTCTAGGAAGTGACATTCTATCACTTCTGCTATATTCTATTGGTCCCACAGACCACCCTGGAAGGGGACTGACAAGGGTGAAACTACCAGGAGGTAGAGTCGCTGGGGGCCATCCTGGAGGCTGGCTACCACACCCCACCTCACTGCCAGACCAGTTCACAGCATATTGGCTGTGTCCACATTGTGCTCTTACCTCTTCACTCAGACTGTTCTTACTGAGTCCCCAGTGACGCCCTTAGTTTGAAATCTAATGGCTTCTCCTCAGCCCTTATCTTAGGAAGTCTCTGAAACATTGCACAGTGTTGAGCTCTGCTTCTTCACACTTGCTTTTTTGGCTCCTATGATATCATAAGGTCCTGATTCCCTTTACCTTTTGGCCCCTCCTTGGTTGTATTCACACACTTCTCTTCACCTATCTACCCATTCCTTAGGGTTGCTGCACCTCAGGTCTCTGCTGGGGATCCCTGCTTTGAATATCATCTGTCTTCTGCCAACCTCATCTCCCACACTCCCTGCACCCCCGCACTCTACCTGCCAACCCTACAGAAAATCCCATGGTCCCTGTTCTCTTCCCACTCCCATCGATTTAGATCAGCACATCTGGGCTACTCTTTGTCCAGTCTTGGATTCCTCAACCAAAGGAGGTGGGGAGAGGCCTGAAGGAAGTAAGAGCAAAGCCATAAATTAATGTGGGGAGTACGTGAAATTCATCTACCACAGATGGAGAAACCTGAGTGGTGATTTGATTACTGTTTTTAAGTCTGCAGAGGCCTCTTGCCTTGAGAAATATGACCAACAGCCCTGTCTTCTCCATGGACCAAATAATAACAGGATCAGTTTTCATAATGACAGAAATGACAGATCCAGGTTGGAGACAGAAAAACGTTAAATGCCAGGAATTAGCTAGAGCAATGTGGAGTCTGATCAGCAGATTTTTTAAAGTAGGTTAGGATTTTGCACATCCAGGATGATTCCTGCATAGACCGAGCTGGGAGTGGGCAGGTGGTGGATTGGGTAACCTGCCACATCCTAGGATCTACAGTTTCTGTGGCTGAATGAGAGGCAAGTCCAAGGTGGAGCTGAGCCCAGAACCCATATCCTGTCCATTTCCAGCAGTGAGTGGAGTGTGATTGTGGCAGAACCTGGGCTACAGGGCAGGTTCATCTGGCTTACAGGGTCAGGGCAGACTAGAGACTGCTGCTTGGTTGTACCAGTCCTTGAAAGAGGCCAGAGGCTGGCGTTATAGGCAGGGAGGAGTGGAGTGAGGATGGGTATGGGTTGGTATTTAGGAGAAGAACACAATCAGAGAGAGTAACTTTGGCTAAGGAGCTGGTGGGAGCATCACCTGCTTCAGGAAGCCCTCTCTGCTACCCGCAGGCTGACTCAGGGCTCCTCTTCTGTGCTCCACAATGCCCTGTGCGTAATAAATAAACCCTGTGGTACTAAGATGGCCCAAGGGTTTGTCTCTCTTTTCATCAAACTGTGAACTCCTTAATGCCAAGAACTGTTTTGTTGCTGGCTGTCTCTGGGACTTGGCACAGAGCATAGATAGAGAAGTCCGGGGTAGATCAGGCTTGACTTATTGACCTGGGGACAAAGGTCTTGGGGGACTTTGAATTACATCCAGATGTGTTCACCTTAAAGGTACCTTCAGTATAGCTCAGGAGAAAACCCTGTCTTTTTGGAACCCTATTCCAGTGGGACAATTGAAGAGATGACCCAGAGAGATCTGGGTTCTGGTCCCTGTTCAGCCACATGTATGACTGATTATCACATGACTATCCTTTCCCCATGCCTCAGTTTCCTCATCTATCAGATGGGGGTGATGACCCCACAGATTCACAGAGTTGACTTGAAAATCAAATGAGATCATGGGTGTGCAGGCGGTAAAAACATCTAGAGAAAGGTCTTTAAGACTTATACAGAGGTAAGAAGTTATTAATAGCCTCATTATTATTCTTACCCAGAATGCCCATGGAAAAGCAGCATGTGGCAGCCCCAGCCCCCGCACCCCACCCTCCCAGACTATTTCTGTCCCTGGGAAGCAGGTTCTTGGAGTGGTAGTCCCTGCTTTGCCACTGTGGGTGGAAAGGGGTGAACGTCAGGCAGGGCTGTCGCTCTCTTGCCCCAGCTCTCCAGCCGGACCCTCCTTGGGTGCTGTTGCCAAACCCTTTGATTTAGAAAATATGGCTGACACTGGCACACCAGCCATCTGGAGGGTTGTGGGCGGTGTCTTGTCTCTGTCACTTCATTTGATGCTGTGGTGGTGCTGGTGAGGTGCTGAGGTAACACTCCATTCAAGCTCAGGTTCAAGGGGAGGCAGCTTTCATTCTCATTCTGCATTTCTGGGGCAGGGCGAGTGACTCAAGGTGGCTTATTCTACCTTCCTGCTTTTCTCCCCATGGGTCCTCCACTGCCTATGGCTCACCATGCCTGGAGAGTGGAGAGCTTTGGCTAGAAGTGGGGACAGATCCAGGTTTCTCTCCTCCCCCACACCACTCACTTCCCTGCCGTGCAAGTGTGATGCTTGTGCACATCAGCTGGCCTATTACTAGGGAGCAGCAGAGAAGCAGGTGGCCTGAGGACAGGCAGAGCAAATACAGATGGGTGGGATCTGCTGTTGACCTCATCCTCCACAAAGTTCTGGAGGCAATATCCAGGTTCTGCCAGCCAACAGATGCCCCATGGGCTCTCAGCAGAGGGCCTGACCTCTCCAACCCTGGGCCCCATCCTTCCGTGTTCCTGACCCCAGTGCTAACCTGTGAAGATGGCAGGAGGGCAGAAAAGAGCTGTGGAAGTGGGGGCTTTGCTGGATTTGGCAGTAACCAAAGCCCCAGGGTCAGCAAAGCAGTAGGTACTGAGGAGAGAAAGCCAGGAGAATACATGCGAGGCCCAGGGAACGCTGATCTGGAGCGAGGTGTCAGGCTCAGGCTCCACTTGCCCTGTCCAGGGTTCAGTCCTCAGGAGGAGGAAGGCCAGCAACACTTACTGCCAGTCTCATGGGAATGGGCCACTGTCAGAGAAATGTACCCCGGCTGCTCTGAGGAGGTCTCCTAACTCTGCTTAGCTACCCCTCCCCACTCGGCCAGCCAGGTCTGCTCACTGCTGACTTAAAACGCTGCCCTCAATTCTATCTTTAGCTCTGGCTGCTGGGAGCCTGAGTGACAGGCAGGGTGGGGGCTTGTGCTGGGGTGGGAAAAATTTGCTCAGGTTTGCTGAGAAGGTGGCACTGATGGCAAGGAGCAGGGCCCATGGCGTGCTGCACCTGTGGCCAGTGCAGTGGTGGGCACGGAGCTCCACCGATTCTGGTGGTGATGAATGCATCCAAGCACGGATGGAGCAGAGGCCCCCAGAGGAGAGGATGCGAGCAGGTCTAGTTGGTCCCTAGATCAAGTCACGGACCCTGAGGGAACTCTGCAGGATCTTGAAAAAGGCACTCCCCCTCCTGATCTCAGTCTCCTCATTTGTAAAAGGTGACTAGATAAGCCATTTTCAGCCACCTTCATGGACACCCCCTACTATCTTCACCACCACTTCGCACCCCTCCATCCCACCCCCATAAAAAAGGCGCTGCCACTGGGCTTGATTTGGAGGGAAGAGAAGTGATGGATTGACAGAGCTCTCCTACCCCTTCCGTCAGGGTTGAGTCGTTTTTTTGTTTTTGTTTTTGTTTTTGTTTTTTTATCAATTCTGGATATTGAGCTTCCTGAAAAGACGTCTTTTAAACAAAGGGCAGCTCAGTTCTCCAAGTGCGTTCAGACTTAAGAAACCAGAATGAAATTGCTTCTTGCAGTAGGTGGCAAGAATAGCTCTTCAACTGCCTCTTCTCAAGACTGATCTAAAAATCCCTTATCTGAGCAATAAAACATGGGCAAGTGCCCACCCAGCCCATTGTCTTTTCCGATAAGAGAAAGTGGAGTGCCCAACAAAGGATGAGGAGGGGTTGAGGGGAGGCCCTTGCAAGGCAGTAGGAGGTGGGCTGGGAGGGGCTGACCAGAAGATGATCCAACCCCCAGGTGGGCCTAGGGGAGAAGCAAGCTGATGTGCAGTTGGTAGGGAGCCTTGAGGCAGGGAAAGCTCAGAGATGGAAGAAGAGTCAGGATCCCTCTGTCCTCTCTGTCGTCAGGTAGAAGGACACAGCAGACCTTTCTCTGAGGTCCTAAGGGAGATCTCATAGCCTAGTGTCCTGGGACCTGGACGCCAACTTAGGGTGCTCACCCAGTGGAGCCTAGGGAACAAGGTTATTGGCAAGTCAGGAAGGCCCTCTGTGGAGAAGGAAGCCTGGCTCATGGAACTTCTCATTCTTCCTCTTGGTCTGCCTTATGAGAGGAATAGGGTATGACTGGGACCTTGGACAAGTTACTTTAACCATTATGGACCTCCATTCCCTCTCTTATTATTTGGAGATAACCTTTGACCCTGCCTATATCACAGAAATGTTCTGATCAAATCAGATTACAGATGTGAAAGCCTTTGTAATTATTAAAAATGCTTTAGAGGCATTCTTCAATGGCCAGAGGGCTGGGGACTAGCTAACAGGTCCCTGCTGCTTCTGGGTCCTTCTTCCTCCTGCTCTCGCCAACTTGCTCCAGTAAAGCCTCCTTTGAGCTTTCTTCCACCTTCCTCCCCAAAGGCAGCGTCCCCCCACCCCCTATCTTTCCCAGCCTTTACCCTGGTCCAGCCTCTGATGCTGAGCTCCCAATAAGGAAAAATTCCTGATTGGATCCCTTGCTCCAGCCTCTCAGCTCCAGCTCATCCCACACACTTTGGCTGGAATCATTACCCTCCCAGCCTGGGGCCTGCTGTGTGTTTAGGTGTGCATCCCACATCAAGCCCAAGTTACTTATCAAGGATTCGTGCAGGCCCACCTGCTTCTCACTGACCTGGCCACCCTGGGT